TGAAGGAACCCCCCGTCCACTCACAACCCATGTGTAAATCATGCAAAAAAGGGAAAAAAATCAGACAATTCATAAATTTATAATTTAGTTAAGTCCAAACAAAAACAGCGCCAAATCAAATGATGCAGATTTGAAGAAAAAAAGTATCCATTTACCCTGCCACTGCGGCGTATAATGGCACTTCTCTTTATTGGATCAATTTAAATTCCGCTCGAGTCTAACAGCAAGCACAGAATACCCATACAAACACGCTCAAACACACTAACGAGCAATCGTTACAAATAGCTGTAGAAACGTGTGAGAAATACGCAAATGATGAATCGCAAGTCGCATAAATTCATCTCCATTCACAGAGTGCAAAAACGTTTATTTATTTATCTCTTTTTGAGTCAGACCCCCTTCCTCCTACTTCCTCCGTTCAGCAGCAAGCAGCATCATTATTCGTGGCAATAACCAACCAGCCAGCTTACCGCCAACCACCCATCCATCCGCTCAACAGCGTAAACAAAGCACGTTTTGTAGTCATCTGTTGGATGTTTTCTTTTGCTTCTTCTGCTTTGGATATGCCCCAGTCATTCATTCATTCGTTCATTGTGAGCTTTGCACAGTGAAAAGAAAATTGGGGGGCCAACATGGAAAAAGTTTAAGTAGCAATTTAAAGGTGAAGAGGAATAAATAACAACAGATATTAACATGTGGGTGTGTTATTAACTTGATAACAAGGGAGAGATACATAAATTACCCAATATTTTGCAAGATATTATACATAAGTATCCTATTTAAAGTGGGTTAAGCAAAAACGCCCATCTGGAGTCAGAACAGAGATTTTGTAGTCTGTAATTTTTGTAGCTAAATTCAAAGGACCTCATGACTTAACATGTGTTTTGGATTTCATTTCTGATCATTTAAAGACACGCTGTGGATCGACAATGATAATTAAAAAAATACATTAAATATATTAGACTTAGCCCTACGATAGCGTTCTATTTTTAAACTACTACTTTTAAACTACTTAAACTAGGGCTACGTAGGGTATATATAATTTGATACGATCAAAACGTGCCTCATGGAAATAACGTTTCTAGGTGAGTTTGGACCAAATCCGTTTCAAGATATTTAAAGTCGATCTATGGGTTATTATTAAAACTACATCGAGTTCGGAGATATGCAATACTGGTTCACTCCTTCTGGTACCACCCCACACAAAAGTTCAGCATTTTTACATAAACTAATTTACCTTATAGAACCAGAAAGGATCGCAGAATTTTGAGCAAACTTTTGAGCAAACTTTTGAGCAATAATTTTATCAGAGTTAGTTCAGGAACGAAAGTGAAATATATTGGCTCATTCCATCAAGTACCTTCCCCACAAAGGGTAAGCATTTTGAATAATTATAACTAAGAGTCCAATAATACTGAATTTTCACACATCTCAATATATTTGCCAACACAAGGTCTTGCATGCAGATTAAATATATCTGACCACTCTATCTGGTACATTCCCCACAAGGGATCAACATTTTTCAATAACCTTGACGCTCATAAAAGGTGAAACGAGCATCCGATTCTTTTCAAACTTCTTAATATTTCTACAAACACAAGAGCTGGTTGGAGATGGGATTCATCCACCTACTTCTTATGGTATCTCACCTACAAAGGGTCAAAATTTTGAATAAGAAAACGCTCATAAAATGTCAAATAAACATTCGAATATCTTCAAAGTTCACATATCCCAATATCATTACGAACGCAAGATATGGTGTGAATTTGGGAGATATCGGCTAACCGCATTTTGATCGCATGAGATTTTTATACCCTCCACCATAGTATGAAGGGTATATTAAATTTGTCATTCCGTTTGTAACACCCTGATCAACATTAAATTCTATGTCGATTTAGCAATATTCCTCCGTCCGTCTATCTGTCCGTCTGTGGAAATCACTCTAGCTTCTGAAAGAAATGAAATAAATTGATAAAATTTTACTCAAATGTGTATTATATCTGCAGGACTTTTGGTATTTAAAATGAGTCATGTAGGTCCACGTCTTCGTATATCCCACATATAACGTTACCCCCCCCCCCCCCCATTGGGGGGGGGGGGGGGGGGTTGGGTGGCCAACATGGAAAAAGTTTAAGTAGCAATTTAAAGGTGAAGAGGAATAAATAACAACAGATATTAACATGTGGGTGTGTTATTAACTTGATAACAAGGGAGAGATACATAAATTACCCAATATTTTGCAAGATATTATACATAAGTATCCTATTTAAAGTGGGTTAAGCAAAAACGCCCATCTGGAGTCAGAACAGAGATTTTGTAGTCTGTAATTTTTGTAGCTAAATTCAAAGGACCTCATGACTTAACATGTGTTTTGGATTTCATTTCTGATCATTTAAAGACACGCTGTGGATCGACAATGATAATTAAAAAAATACATTAAATATATTAGACTTAGCCCTACGATAGCGTTCTATTTTTAAACTACTACTTTTAAACTACTTAAACTAGGGCTACGTAGGGTATATATAATTTGATACGATCAAAACGTGCCTCATGGAAATAACGTTTCTAGGTGAGTTTGGACCAAATCCGTTTCAAGATATTTAAAGTCGATCTATGGGTTATTATTAAAACTACATCGAGTTCGGAGATATGCAATACTGGTTCACTCCTTCTGGTACCACCCCACACAAAAGTTCAGCATTTTTACATAAACTAATTTACCTTATAGAACCAGAAAGGATCGCAGAATTTTGAGCAAACTTTTGAGCAAACTTTTGAGCAAACTTTTGAGCAATAATTTTATCAGAGTTAGTTCAGGAACGAAAGTGAAATATATTGGCTCATTCCATCAAGTACCTTCCCCACAAAGGGTAAGCATTTTGAATAATTATAACTAAGAGTCCAATAATACTGAATTTTCACACATCTCAATATATTTGCCAACACAAGGTCTTGCATGCAGATTAAATATATCTGACCACTCTATCTGGTACATTCCCCACAAGGGATCAACATTTTTCAATAACCTTGACGCTCATAAAAGGTGAAACGAGCATCCGATTCTTTTCAAACTTCTTAATATTTCTACAAACACAAGAGCTGGTTGGAGATGGGATTCATCCACCTACTTCTTATGGTATCTCACCTACAAAGGGTCAAAATTTTGAATAAGAAAACGCTCATAAAATGTCAAATAAACATTCGAATATCTTCAAAGTTCACATATCCCAATATCATTACGAACGCAAGATATGGTGTGAATTTGGGAGATATCGGCTAACCGCATTTTGATCGCATGAGATTTTTATACCCTCCACCATAGTATGAAGGGTATATTAAATTTGTCATTCCGTTTGTAACACCCTGATCAACATTAAATTCTATGTCGATTTAGCAATATTCCTCCGTCCGTCTATCTGTCCGTCTGTGGAAATCACTCTAGCTTCTGAAAGAAATGAAATAAATTGATAAAATTTTACTCAAATGTGTATTATATCTGCAGGACTTTTGGTATTTAAAATGAGTCATGTAGGTCCACGTCTTCGTATATCCCACATATAACGTTACCCCCCCCCCATATTCGGCATTTTGATGATTTTAGCGACATTATTTACCGGAACTATTTAAAAGTTGTTATTTGAAGTTCGTAATGAATACTACAGCTTATGACAGAAAACTGACTGTGCAGGTCCACGTCTTCGTATAGCCCCGGTACGGTACCTCCCGATATGCGGTATTTTTAAGATTTTAGCGACATTATTTACCGGAATTATTTTAAAATTGGTATTTGAAGTTCGTAATGGACATTACAACCTAAGACAGAAAATGGGTCATGTAGGTCCAGGTCTTCGTATATCCCCCATATAACGGTACCCCCCGATATTCGGTATTTTGTTGATTTTAGCGACATTATTTACCAGAATTGTTTGAAATTTCGCATTTGAAGTTCATAATTAATACTACAGACTATGACATAAAATTGTCTGTACAGGTCCACGTCTTCGTATAGCCCCATATAACGGTACCCCCCGATATTCGGTATTATGATGATGTTAGCGACATTATTTACCGGAGTTAGTTCAAATTTTGTATTTAAAGTTCGTAATGGATACTACAGCCCACGTTTTATAACCCCCATGGTGCCTCCCTAAATTCGGTATTCTGATGATTTTAGCTACATTATAATCAGATTTTTTTCAAGTTTCGCATTTGAATATTGCAATAGCTTATGACAAAGAGCTTTTAGTAAAGAAAAGAGTTGCCACATTGCAGGAAAACCGTTGATCTCTCATAAAATGCATAAAATATGTCTTTTAGTAAAAGTTTTGCAGGTTGAAGAGCTTTTATTTCCTTCTGTATTTATGAAATGTCTACAAGATCTTCCACAGTTATCCAGTAGATAGCAATCCTTCCACGTGACTTTTCGCAATTTGCTATCTAACATAACATTTGATGTCAACTTCAGTCACGCAGAACGATTAACCGGATTAACGAGTTAAGTCAGAATTACTAAGTTCATATATATACTTTCAAATCGAGGGGCAATAATATAACGAAAATATAAATGTTTCTCAATGTGAAATAATAGGATTCTTTGGAGTATAACTTTTTAGTCGATGTTAAAATTACACAAATTCGCAGTCCTGGAAAAAAATAAAGTGAATTAATCGAATAAAATCTAAGGTGAATCGAATAAATGCTAAGGAACTGGTGGTGTAGGTCAAGTGACAGAAGTGACATTAAATCTGCATAACAATATGTAGGTTGTTATCATTTGACAAATCCATATTCTCCAAAAACAGCCTATTTTTGTTAATGCTTTTTAATTATAACAAAACTGTGCTTTATTTTCAAATACAAGCTACTTGCAAACCCCTGCACATATATATTCCAGCAAAATAAATAAAACAAACAATAAATTAATCTAATTTTCTCTCTCTCTCCTTTTCTGTTTTATCTCTTTCTATGGCGCACCGATTCTGATGCTCACCCCAAAGCTGTCTATCGTTGGTCAGGTCAGTCAGTCATCGTTCATTTAACAAAGATTTTAATAGAATCCAATAAACAAACAAGTCCAAAGCTTTTGGATTAGCAAACGAAGCAACACAAAACACAAGAGAAACATTCCAAAGAGGAGATCCATTCCCTAAAAGAGCTGAGTAGAGACACTGCTGCTACAACGACGACAACAAATACAAGCGAAACGGAGACTAGTAACATTTGTGGCAAGTTGTTCTCACCCCGACATCATAGACATCATTCAGCGTTGATTCAGTTTACAAAATGCCATTAATCAGCTTAGCTCGTTCGCGTGCGACATCACCGTCGTCATCATCCTCTTCATCAACAACGACGATGACAACAAAATTTCTCACAACCAACACCATTGTTCTCGTATTGTTGTTGACATCATTCACCCTCCTGAGCTGGCAACCGGCAGCAGCTCAGGGCAATCAGACGCCACAGCAAGTTTGTCCCGAGCACAATGAAATTGCTCCTTGTGTCTGTAGCGTGAAGAAGAATGGCCTGGACATCCTGTGTGAAACCACCGACCTGTCTCACATCACCAAATCGATGAGTACTCTGAAGGGCAAAAGTCCCATCATCTTCTATTTGAAATTGCGCCACAACAATTTGCCAAAACTTCAGGGTTTCCTGTTTCTGGCATTGGACATTCGTCATTTGACTATTCACAACAGCAGTTTGGCAGCCATCGAGGAGAATTCTCTCAGCTCTTTGGGTAAGTAGTAGTAGTAGCAGACTTATACGTCCAAAAATGAGTCCGTAAAGAAGAAGGCTTTATAGATTCCGATTTCTTTTTGAAATTGTACTTCAATCTTTATACCCACCACCATAGTATGGAGGGTATATTAAGTTTATCATTCGTATCGTTGAACACCTCTATATATACATTTTAGACCCCACAAAGTATATATATTCTTGATCAGCATAAAATTCTATGTCGATTTAGCAGTGTCCGTCCGTCTGTTCGTCTATCCGTCTGTGGAAATCACTCTAGCTTCCGAACGAAATGAAGTAAGTTGATAAAAATTTACTCAAATGAGTGTTATGCCTGCAGGACTTTTGGTATTGAAAATGGGTCATTATTTACCGGAACTATTTCAAAGTTGGTATTTGAAGTTCGTAATGAATACTACAGCCTATGACAGAAAATTGTCTGTGCAGGTCCACGTCTTCGTATAGCCCCCATATAACGGTACCCCAGATTTTCGATATTTTGATGATGTTAGCGACATTATTTACCGGTATTTTTTCAATTTTCGTATTTGAAGTTCGTAATGGACTCTACTTCCTATGCCAGAAATTTGTCTGTGCAGGTCCACGTTTTATACCCCCATGGTACCTCCCCATATTATGTATTTTTATGATTTTAGCTACATTATGAACAGTTTTTTTTCTCAAGTTTCGCATTTGAATATTGTAATAGCTTATGACAAAAGTTGCCTATGCAGGTCCACGTCGTTGTATAGACCCTAATATACGGCTACATTCGGTATTTTAAAGATTTTAACAGAATTTTTAACGGATTTTATTTTTTTGAAAGTTCGGCCCGGTCGAACTTACAGCTTTTTTACTTGTTTTTATGAAGTCGGAATTCTTCTGTAAAATCGGTCGTCTATAGATACATTCTTCCTATAAAGCCGTCCTTCCGTTCGTCTATAACGACGCCCTTCTAGTCGTCTATAACGACGCCCTTCTGTTTGTCTATAATGACGTCCTTCTGGTCGTCTATAATGACGTCCTTCTGGTCGTCTATAACGACGTCCTTCCGGTTGTCTATAAATACATTCTTCCGCTCGTCTATAAAGAAGTCCTTCCGGTTGTCTATAAAGAAGTCTTTCCGGTTGTCTATGAAGACGCCCTTCTGGTCGTCTTTAAAGATGCCCTCCTGATCATCATTTGGCCTTCCTTTCTTCTCTTCGCCTAACGTCTTTTTAGGCGAAGAGAGTCGTTAATGACAATTTTATATTTATATTAAACACTATCCGGTTTTGATGGTCTATAAAGCTTTGGCTCACTTGGTCTATTAAGCTATATTAAGCGTTATTTAAAATCTTCTCTTAGACGGTCTTAGGAGGTCTTTAAAGACTCGCCTTTACTGATCTTTAAAGACTCCTCTTTTCAGTGCAAAGACTCAGAAGAAAATCTCTCGAAGGGTAAAAAACTTCAAGAGACTTTCTTATGATCGTCTTCAAAAGTTCTCTCTTGGTCGTGTATCATCAAGATTCAATTTCTTTCAATTTATTCTTTGTTGATCTTTCTAGGTAAGGGTCTCACTCAACTGGATGTTTCTCTCAATCAAATGAAAACGGTGCCCTCGACGGCCTTGAAACATCTTTATCATCTTTTAATTTTGAATTTGAATCACAACAAAATTACGGTGATTCATAACAATGCATTTGAGGGTTTGGATACATTGGAAATTCTGACATTGTATGAGAACAAGATCAACAATGTGGAACCAGAAGCTTTCCGGGGCTTGGAAAAGTAAGTACTACCACTAAAACAACTAAACAAAATTATGAAAATCTCTAAAATTTCAGGAAACTCAAACGTTTAAATTTGGGTGGCAATGAATTGACCATGGTGCCACAACAGGCACTTTCAATTCTAGACAACCTTAAGAAATTGGAAATTCAAGAAAATAAAATCAAAATCATACGGGAAGGCGATTTCGCCGGTAAATCTTAAAATGTGTGAATCATATTCGAAATTTTTTAATATTTCTCTATTTCCAAGGTCTTGAAAGTTTGGACTCCTTGATTTTGGCCCACAACATGATTACTTCGGTACCAGCCAATGTTTTCTCTCATCTCGGTTTGTTAAATTCTTTGGAATTGGAAGGCAATAAAATTTCCAGCATTGACAAGGATGCCTTTAAGGGATTGGAAGGTTTTTATGATCTGAAACAACAATCTATTCTTATTTCAAGAGTTGTTCTTAAAATGCTGTTGCAATTTCTATTTCAGAAAATCTTCAATATCTCCGTTTGGGTGATAACAATTTGCAAGCCATACCCAGTGAGGCATTGAGGCCGTTGCATCGTCTACGCCATTTGGATTTGAGAAATAATAATATTAGCGTTATAAGTGATGATGCCTTCACTGGTTATGGCGATTCCCTGACCTTTTTAAATCTGCAAAAGAATGAGTAAGTTAAACATGAATTTAAGATTTAGTATTTTTATTTAAAAGAATATTAGGTTGTGTTGGAAAGAGAGACATTCAATCTTCTAAAATAAAGACAATATTTTGGGATTTTACAATAATGCTTCATTGAGGGGTTGCAATATATTTAAAAAAAAACAAAGTGGATGTCGTTTGTTGATCTAAAAAAATCTATGAAAAATGTAAAACAAGTAAAAAAAAGTAAGTTCGTCCGGGCCGAACTATTAGGGTAAAGGAAACATTTTTATATAAAATTATCTGAATTGAAGCGTGTTTCACTTTAAACTTCATATACCAGTAAGATCTTTCGCATAATGCTGTTAAACTTATAAAAAAAAACCATCAAATGAGTGAGTCCGTTATTTGGAGCCAAACCAAAACGGGAACCTTTATAGACAATTTTATACTTTAAGGATTACCATCTATCAAATCTTCTAAAATTCCAAATTTGAAACAATTATATGTCAAATGTGACTAGGATTATCAAAATAGCGAATATCGGTGGGTATCGTTATCGGCAGGTACCGTTATATGGGGGCTATACGAAAACGTGGACCTATACATACAATGTTTCGCCACCGGAGCTAGAACCCACAAATACTAATTTTTAGACAAATCCGTGAAAAAATATGGCGAAAATCATAAAAAAATACCCTTGTATAGGGGCTATACCAAAACGTAGACCTATGCATATAATGTTTCGCCACACGAGCTAGAACCCATCATACCCTACAAATATCAATTTTTAGACAAATCCATAAAAAATGTGGCAAAAAATCATCAAAATGCCGGATATCGGGAGTTACTGATATATGGGGGCTATTCCAAAACGTGGACCTATACATACAATGTTTCTCCACACAAGCTAGAAACCATTATAACCTACAAATACCAATTCCGGGACAAATCCGTTAAAAATCCACTTTTTAGACAAATCCTTGAAAAAATGTGGCAAAAATCATCATAATACCGAATATCGTAAGGTACCGTTATATGGAGGCTATGCCAAAACGTGAACCTATACATACAATTTTTCGCCACACGAGCTAAAACTTATTATGACCTTCAAATACCAATTCCTGAACAAATCCGTTAAAAATCCACTTTTTTGACAAATCCGTGAAAAAAAATGTGGCGAAAATCATCAACATACCGAATATCGGGAGGTACCGTTATATGAAGGCTATAGCAAAACGGGGGCCAATACAAATTGTCCTGCCAAATTTTGAAGGTCTACGTCTATGAATGTTGGCTGTGTCGTGATTTTTGCAGACAGAGAGACGGACATCGTTAAATCGACTTAGCATGTTTTGCCGATTATGAATATATGTACTTTATGGGGTTTATCATGGATAGTTAGGGATGTTACACACAGAATGACAAGGTTAATATACCCTCCTTTGCAAGGTGGAGGGTAGAACAATTTACTGAGAATAAAGTCGCCAAGTCTAAATCAAGACTAACTATAGAAATTTATAAAATTACTAGCTGACCCGGACCGCGTTGCTGGCCCATACTATTAGTGCTTAATTCATATTTTTAGGAACCTAATATAAGTTGTAAAGGCTTAGCTTTTCTTTTTGAAAAAGCCTAACAAGGACATAAAATATAATATAATATAATATAATATAATATAATATAATATAATATAATATAATATAATATAATATAATATAATATAATATAATATAATATAATATAATATAATATAATATAATATAATATAATATAATATAATATAATATAATATAATATAATATAATATAATATAATATAATATAATATAATATAATATAATATAATATAATATAATATAATATAATATAATATAATATAATATAATATAATATAATATAATATAATATAATATAATATAATATAATATAATATAATATAATATAATATAATATAATATAATATAATATAATATAATATAATATAATATAATATAATATAATATAATATAATATAATATAATATAATATAATATAATATAATATAATATAATATAATATAATATAATATAATATAATATATATAATATAATATAATATAATATAATATAATATAATATAATATAATATAATATAATATAATATAATATAATATAATATAATATAATATAATATAATATAATATAATATAATATAATATAATATAATATAATATAATATAATATAATATATAATATAATATAATAATATAGAGTATAATATAATATAATGCATTTCTGTTATGTCGCCTGCCATTTGTTACCTGATTGAAGAATTAAAGCCCATATGCATTTTGTCCAATCTTTATAGTTTTATGTCTTTGAGCCTAAACTTTGATAAAAATTTTGGCTTACAACTGCAGTCAATCTACAATTTGCCGGTTTTCATTGTTTATGCTTATTGATGTTTTTTTTTTTTTTTTTTTTGGTTTTGTGGTTCATTGTGTTGTGTTCTTTTCAACCCGTTTCTAATAATAATATTTGTGATGTGTGAAGGAAATTTTGAAAATACACTTGTATATATATTTTCCATGTTTTGCAGTTTTTATTCTCATTATTCTCATTTATTCTCTCTATTATAGTAATTGAAGTTAACATCAATTGCAAAAAAAAATGTCAATGTCACATAACTTTAAGTATCAAAAATAAGATGTCATCGGTTTATAACAGTTTGGGACCCCATAAAGAATGTAAAAGAGTGAAACACTTTGATAATTCAGGTTAAAACAAGTAAGCAAAGGCTATAGTCGTTCGGGTCCGACTATGTTATACCCTACAACACTACAATATGTTAGAAGCCCACTTATGCCCAAATCCATATTGGAAGATTTCGCTTTTGAAATTAGGATTTTGACTAGGGACATTTGCCCAAGATTTATGCACTCCTTCGGGCTGTTAGTTGTTGTAGTCCATTTTACAGCTAAATAAAATCCAATGGCCATCCAAAATGCTAGAATTCTTCCCTGTCCTTAACTCTCTTCACAGGCGTGTCGATTGGCTTCAATTGTGTGATCGGAAAACATTTCTGTTTTTGGTTAATTTGAACCTCTAAATACTTTGCAAGCATCTCCAAAAGCAAGAAGCCCCTCTGTATCTTCAAATTTAGACTCATCTATATGATTTGCTTGTCTATGATATTTGGCTATATTCGGCAACGAAATCAGCATAAAAAAGCCAGAGGTTCACCTTTTGTGTATTTCGGATATCCCCTGTAAGTAATGCTGGTATTTTTCCACACAAAATTAGTGGTCCATTGTGCCCGCTGTCCTAAACTCTAACTTTATGCGAGATTTCGTGTCCTTTGGTTTCTATTTGTGACTTTTATAACGGCTGCAAAATCAGTAAAATGTTTAGTTGTTGGTCCATTTCAACCCCCTAACATATTGCGGACATCTTTGAAAACAATAGGCCTAGCCCTTCTGAGCCCAACCCTACCCTTGTGAAAATTTTCGTGGGGATCGGACGATATTTGCAATACTTATAAAATATCCCCAAACTGTGTTGTAAGGTGAAAAAATATTACAAAATATTAAAAGCCAAATTAAAAAAATAGCATGCGATAAAAATTATGAAAAAATAAAAAAAATGTCACACGATACTACAAAATCTATATAAGCATCATTATTGGCATATTTTTCTGTGATTTTTTTAGATTTTATACCTTTATGTCAAGAGAGCATTCTGAATTGACAAAATATGTCAAAATCGGTCCAGCCATTCTTGAGATATTAGCATTTTAACAAACATCCCCTCCTTTTGTATATAAACATTGTATATATTTCGCTGTATATAACCGATATTTTTACTATCGGCATCTACGTAACGGTCAGAATTGACCTGTTCGTCTATTTGTGATTTGGCCGGGATTAAAAATATTCGAGGTTTAATGGAAAATTTGATTTTTATTTAACACAAATGTTGAGACTATTTCACCCACTAAATATTACCAGATGACCATCAAAATTGGAACTTTCGCGTCGTTTGGTCTATAATTGCGACCTGTAGAGCAACTGCAAAATCAGGAATTTTTTCAGTTTTTGGTCCATTTCAACCCCTAAATATTATGCTATCATCTCCTAAAGAAATAGGGTTCTATTCTGACCCTAGCCCCACCTCTATTCTAAAGATCGGGCAAAATTGCGACCTGTAGATTGATTACAAATTAACATGGACAGACGGACGGACGGACATACATAGCTAGATCGACTCAGCTCGGCGAGATAGGAAGATCCATATATACTTTCCTATGTGGGAAATCAATATTTCGTGGTGTTACATCATTTTTCGCCAAATCAACACATAGTGTTGTAGGGTATAAAGATATATATTTGTCCTCATTTATATATAGGTATCATATAATATTATCTTCTAATATTCTTCAATGTAAATGTACTCCAATTTGGAATTTGATGATTTTAGTACAGTTAAATCTAGTCCTTTAATACTGTTTCTACGCATATAACTTGCCGATTTAAGGGATTTGGAAGGAATCAACAGCATTTCCGAGCTTATAAATCCTCTGTCAAAAAAAAAAAAAAAAAACAAAAGTCCAATTTATGATTTATTTCCTATACACCAATACCTCTTTGTCTTTATATCGTCGTATTCCATTATTTTTTCCAACCTCAATTATCAGTATTATTTAAAGGCCTTATCAACATTTTCCAATCAAAAGTAATTTGAATTCGTAACTTTTAGAAGACCATGTTGCAAGTTATTTATTTTTATCCACCTCATGCATTCTAAAACCTTTATACAATATTCCTAGGATGATAGGAATATATACGTCTAGTTTATGTTTAATACTGCCACTAAACTGCAATAACTGTTAAATATTGGTTCCTCATTAGGCATAGCCGCAACTTAAAAGTATGTTAAGATTTTGAGTGTTTTGATGCTTTAAGAAGTATTTTCTAATCATGAACCAGTAAAGAAAAACTAAAAGTCGGACGGGCCGACTTTATGATACCTACAACCCTTTGCATATTTAG